GAGAGTAATATTGGACAGAAGAAAAATTTCGTTGAGATTTTTGAACTAAAATCATAAGTCTCACTCGGCAACATAAAAAAGAAGATTTTCTTCTGCAACCTTTGCTACTGTTGCCGAATGAATCTACCGATAGAAAAAAAATGGTATGCTTGATTGTAAAATAAAAGAATGAAGAGAAAAGAAAAATTCACTGATTAACTTACAAATCGAAGATCGTTCGACTTGAAGACTTTGATTTCCACCGATTTTATTGTGTAGCAATGTCACTCGTCTTCGTATACTAAACCCTTTATCAGGCGTTCCTTTTTTTACCTGACCAGCAGAACAAATCAGCTCGATAGTAATGAGAAAAAAAATCGATGGCTTTAGATCTTGCTTGAGTTTGATTCGGGCTGGTGTTGTTGCTGTTGAAAGCACTTCTACGCTTTCCTCTGAATTTGAATAATTAAAAAAAGAAGCTTTGCATTTTCGTCGTGCTGGTTCTCATATAATGTTGATCATCGACAATCAAACAACATCGAACAGAACGTGCCATTTCTAACTCTGTTGCGTTAATGTAAAGAGAAGACCGGAATACATATTTGGTCGGTAATCGTTACTGTTTATTTAATACGAGAAGAGAGAAGTTTTCGATTTATTTGTCATGCCGAGCGAATGAAAGAAGAAATTTTCACCCCAACTCGAAATAACACTTTCTAATTGATGCTGTGGATGGGTAAGTGAATGGATGAAGATGAGACGAAAAAATAGCATTCATATCCACACCCATCCTCATTTTCTCGAAAGATTTCGTCCTGTGTGAGCCGATTGCAGATCGATTGTAGAATGTCGGAGACAATTCGATCCCATTTTCGCTTATTGAAGATCAGTATCGATGACTTTCGGGTCGATCTCACAAAGAACATGTTCAATCAGAAAGAATGGATAACAAATTGTTTGATTTGACCTAATTGATAATACAAGCGGCGAAAGAATCATGATGAGCAAAGTTGCCCTTTGAGATATTTCAGTAGTATCGAAGACCAAAGAAAACAAAAATTGCTACTCGAATGAGTATTGACGATGTTGAAAGCAGATCATCGACATCGAACAAGTCCGTCACTTAGGTTTCGCTTAAACAAGCTATGTACCGATTTTAATCACTAGGATCAGAACAATTCTCAGCAATTCAGTTGAAATTCATTGATCAAACAGAGATCCAAGAGTGTGCCGTTCGGGTATGAATGGAGCGAAAGACAAGAATAACGCATACACTCACACCCATTCGTAACTATGCCCACACATACATTCACACTCACACCTCAATCCACAGCCACCCACACATCCACATACACTTACATCATCCATGATGGTCCACACATTAATTATAACAAAATACCTTCTGAATTATTTTGATCGACTTTAAATAACATTTTCCGCTTCTTTTTGATTGTGTATCGTGTACAGAAACGAACGATTTAAGAATGAAGCCTGTCTAAAATTGTATTTTTATTAAAAGCAACGTTCATGTTGAATTTTTTTGTTTATCTGTATATTCTACATATGAACAATGAATTATTCTCATAAGAAGTTATCTCAATATTTTCACCCATCAATTTGAATATCAGTCTATTATTTGGAGCATGATCAATATATATTTCTATAGCAATTATTGCAGATAATCTTTAACAAAATATATAATGAGTACGGTCGTATTATGTTTGTATTCGAATGAAAACAAAAAAACCTATCTCGATAAATTCCGAATATTTTGTAACGAGGAGAAGAAAAAGAACTATTATGTATGAGTCGCAATTTCTTTATTAATGAGCACTTTAAAGTAGTTTGCCTTTAAAACTGATACATGTAAAAGCTAAAAATGTCAACTAAATGATGTTCAGTAGCATCATCTTCTTAATGTATATGCAGAAACAGATACGACGATTTGGCTTCATCATAAAACGAAACTCTGACTAAGAGTTCATCCTATTAATTGTATATTTTTCTTCTAAAATCGTTATATAAACTAAAAAAGAAGCGACTATAGATGAACAGTCTGTGAGAGAATCACTTGAACAAGACTTTCTAAGGTGAAAAAAATAATTGTAGTCGAATAGTCATAAACTTCTGAATGATAAAAAAATATAATTTCTAATGGGTGATAACAAACCATACGATATTGACAGTATGTGCGATACTGAAACGATAAAATGATAAAACTAAGTCATTTTAAAGCAAAAAATATTATCATCAAGTAAAGTCGATAGATGAAAGCAGAATTCTGTATTTGTTGTTGTCAAACACAAATAATACTATGAAAAGAATTTATCGAAAAGTGAATAAGTAATCATATATAACTGCAAATTAGTGCTACATATTTACTAATTTAATATTTTTTTTTTGATCGCTTCCTTTTTGGTGATTTATTACAAGCATTAGAATATGATTGCTATTCCAACCAATATACCGTGGGTAAAGTGAGCACCAGATTCGAGTTTTTGCTATCCGGATTTGTTCGTCTACCTGAGTTATATTTCGTTCAACTTGAGTTAGATGCAGAATTTTACGGGGAATCCGATGGTGTAATGATCAAGGGGAGTCATCGAGCAAAAACTAGCACTTGACCCCGAAATATTGAATCTTTCAAAATTTTTTGAAAAGTATTTGCTGTCCGGATTCATTATTTTACTTGAGTTGGGTCTAAAAATGGTTGAGTTGGATTCAGCATGAAATTCTGCATCGAATGATATCGATGTAGTATGGGGTCATCGGGAAACATTTTTTCATATGGGTGAGGGCGAGGATCACCATGAGGGGGTGTGGCTGGATGAGGTGAAAAATTTTTGCTCGATGACCCCATACTAAATCGATATCATTCGATGCAGAATTTCATGCTGAATTCAACTTGACCATTTTTAGACCCAGCTCAAGTAAAATAGCGAATCCGGACAGCAAATACTTTTCAAAAAATTTTGAAAAATTCAGTATTTCGGGGTCAAGTGCTAGTTTTTGCTCGATGACCCCCCTTGATCATTACACCATCGGATTCGTCGTAAAAGTCTGCATCTAACTCAAGTACACGAACGAATCCGAACAACAAAAACTCGAATCTGGTGCTAACTTTACCCACGTCCAATATACAACTATAAAAATCAGCTGAAAGTTGTTCCTCCGTCAACAAACAACTTGGTTGTGTTATGTTCGACGATTTTCAGTGAATATATGTTATTATCTAATGAATAAACGACTTATTCTATAATTGTCATTTGGATGTTTTTTTTTCAATCGAATATAAATATTCTGAACCGATCTCTTTCTGTTTCTACTAGTTGATCAATATCAGTTGAAATTCATTTGTGCTAATTACGTCTGCACTTATATATATTAATAATGCAACAAAAAAATGTTTGTCTTCTATTTCTTATCAAATAATACTGGAACTGGGCGTGGGTCGATTCGAATTTTTGTGAACAGAGAACCAGCACCGATATCAACACTCACGTCTACATCCTGATACAGAGTCTTTTGGCACTTATGAACTTTGGCTAAAGTACATTGAGTGATTCACTAGTTTAGTTTGTCGCAAAAAAAGACGTAGCAGCTCGTTCTTTTATTCAGATTGTTAGTCACATATATAAAGGAAAAAAACGTGACATCATACACGTCAGTGTTCTTGTCCGACTTCATTGATGATGTATCATGCCACTTGATATCTTAGAAATAAAGTTCCATTTTGTAGGCAACGAAACTTAGGTTTGCTATATTACGAATTGACATTTGATAGTTGATTTTAACGGATAATACTAGCTGAAAATTGAAAATTTCGATTTTGCTCTTATGATTCATCATAGAGCTCTAAGAAGAAAATGAAAATCGTATTTTTTTATCTAATTTTTATGACCTTGTAATACTCATTTTGAAGTGTTTCGTGTTTGACAACTTGATTTAAACTTAAAAGTGTATTTCAGGATTTCGTATGATTGATTAGTAGAGTATTCTTAAAATTTTTCTCGTAGTTGAACATGATTCTCTGACAGAGTATCATGATTTATGAAGTTTCTATATTGTTTTACTTATTTTTCATAAATGTCTACATTCCCCAAGAAGTCGTTTGTTGTCTTTACGTTGGATTTATTATATTTTAATTCAGAAACCATTCGCTAATCGAATGATCAATGTACGATCAAAATGCAATCGAAATGATATTTTCTAAGGCTTTTGTGTGCGAATAAGTCATAGAGACAAAAAAACGAAGCAAAAAACATTGATATTTTTTCGTCAAATAAAAGGTGAAGGTCTATTTAAAGAATCTTAACAAACATGTTTATCTACATCGATAGATTAAAAACAATTAGTCATTTTTTGTTTTATTATATTCACGTATTCTAGTATTTCAAATACGGTACTACTTTATGATTGTATTGAGAACTTGAAGAAAACAGACAAAGTCTATCTATTGGGTCTGACCAAATTTTTTGCATACATTATCCAGCAATGACACTAATTACATTTTTCATCACTATTTCGATAGTCTTTCCTTCGCTAATCGAAGCCAATATTGACTCATGTACATTTAATTCAACTATTGATGTACTTCCATCGAATTGGTCTTATTCTACTGTGGACAAGGTCAAACTTTGTTTTCAAAGCATACCAGTGAACAATATTAGAATGAAACAAACAATGCAACAATTATTCAACGCATTGGATTTTTACAGTTTTTTGAGCATCATTCGTCAAAGTAATTCTCCATATTTCATCAATGTGGATCTTCAAAACGAATTATTAATTCTTAATCAATCCAATATGACTACGTACCAAAACGATTATGATTTCATATCGCCATTGCCAATGCGTTTAAAAAACTCAATGATTTGCATACACAATATAACGCACCAAATGGATATGCCAATTTCGTATTGTTATTACCGTTTATTCTGGAATTTATTCCTTCAACACAACAAATAAAAATTAAATCAGGAATTCAATTATATTCTTCTATCATTGGAAATAATTTAAACATGAAATATAACGATAGAATAGTCACAAAGATTGACGGTATCAATGCATTCAATTATATCAAACAATTTGCTGGGCAATATTCACTTATCAGTAAAGATAAAAATGTCAAATTGAATTCTGTTTTTAAAGAAGAATTTTGGTTGCGAAATCTTGCACGTTATCCATTACCATCAAGCAATAATATAAGATTTACGTTTTTGGATAATAATGAATTAACATTAACATTTCCTTATCTAGTAATAATGACAAAAAAAATCGATAATCAAGCTAGTTTGGAAAATGACAACATGTTTTCGTCAACAGCATTGTTCGATCAAACAATGGTTTTGAATTATGTAACGAATTTTGAAAAATTAAATTGGTATAATGAAAATCAAAGTGATAACTTTGATTATATAATGGGTGGTAATACTACTTATTATTATGTTCATAAACGAACAAAAACAGCCGTTATCAAGCTCGGATCGTTTACTCAGGAAAATTTTCAGGATGTGAAAAATATTTTTTTGTTGGCTTCTGGAAACATATTAATCATAGACTTAATTGGTAATCATGGTGGTCATAGTTGTATAGCTTACAGTTTACTCAACTATTTAGTTCCAGAATATTCTAATCTGGGTGTGTTGTATGAACCAATGGATGCTAGAACAACAAAATCGTTAATATCATTTTCGAGAGCGTTTAACTTCTATCCAAATTCAATATTAAATCTTCAAACTGGCCTGCCATTTACAAATATGGACTGGATACAACCGTATATTAATTACACAAGAGGAAATTTAACTGATGAATATTCAATGAAATGGTCTATTAATTGTGATGGGGAAGCATTTGGTATGGGACAATTTTGGCTCAAAAATGGTACTAATACAACATATTTTAAATCGATTTATGTTTTAACTGATGGTACGTGTGGTAGTGCTTGTAGCTTATTTTTATCTAAGTTAAAATTTGGCTCCAATTTTAAAAAGGCTTATGGTATTGGTGGTGGGTACGATGGCAATAATGTATTTGAAAGTTCAAGCTATGCTGGTGGTGGCGCATTTAATTGGAACGATATTGTCACATATTATACTCTAGTTGGTGCCAACGATTCGTCCATTAGCTATTTACCAACAAGTGCATTCTTGAATTTGAATGTTTATGAAATATATATCAATAGGCTCAACCCTGATTATCCAAGAGAATTCTTGTCACAGTCAATTGATAAACAAGTAACCAGTTCCGATTATTTCAACTTAGAATCAGCTTTCGAACAAATCATTAATGATGAAAGTCCACCGTTTGGATATGCTCCAATTATAAACAGTTCGTTAAAGATAATCATTATGAGTCTACTCACATTAAAATTACTCTTAAACTCAACTCATCAAGTGGCATACATTTAAGATAACAATACATTTTATCATGCATAACTGCTTGTATTCGTTGCAGTTAGTCGCTTCCTTTATTGTGAGTCTTGTTTTATATGTTGAATCTTCCACTAAATAACGTTGCAGAAAACTATATGAAGAGATCCTGCTTTTTGAAGAAAAAAAATGTGATATGTATATATGCCTAAATATCATATGAGGCAGTCGATTACAATTAGTTCGGTCACGAAACAAATATTTTATTCAAGCGAACATTCTTTTGTTCTGTCTGATTTTGAAAAACATAATTTCTAAAATGTTTTTAGAGTTCTTGTCTCACGTGTGTAAATTTGTAATGTGATCTTTACTCGAACAATCTTAAAGGGATGAATCACGAGAATATTGAGTTAATTCCTTCCAACACGATAAAGCGGAAAAAAAACATTCATTGGAGTGAAATCCATTTTTAAAGTTGACATGACTTGAAACCAAACAACTTTGGATTTTTTTATACTTCATGCTTGCTTGTTTTCAACTTATCGCCATAGTATTTTTTCAGAGATTGTAAGATCCTTAAAAAACAAAATAATCCTATACATAATTAATCTTTTCATTATAACTTAAATAAGAAAAGGCGCTAAGATACGAGAAATATGTCGAAATACTATGTCTCAATTTTGATTCCTTTTTTATATTTCTGCTTCCCTTGTCACATACGCCGTTTTGTCATACATCATTCAACAAAATTTGGATAAATCAGAAACAGGAACAACCAGATCGTTAATTGATTTCTTTTTATTCCAAACGTGAGTAGGTTTTTTTGCGGAAAGTTGTACTTTCCAATATTGAAATGTTTTATCAATTACCATTCGATATCTGGGTTATGTAAACGATGGATTCTATTATGAAAATGTAAGCCTACCAAAAAAAAACATCCAATCGATGGTTTATTTTCACTCAATCAGAGTAAGAACAGGACTTTTTCATTCGAGGAAAAACGATTTCAGAATGCCTTCGATGGTATGTCATCTTGGTTTTGTTAGTTTCCTATTATACTGTATGTCGTGCGGCGACAAATTCAAAACTGTGGCAAAAACAAACAATGAAATAGAGAAATGGAAAAAAAGGATGTTATCATTTCAGACATTGCTTTCAGTAGTTTTCGGAATTTGTCAACATTTTCTTATAAAATCCCGATATATATTTTATCATCAAACCGAAAAAATAGACCAAGAACAAGTACCCACTTGTGGGTGACCGAATAAAACGACATTCAGGGCAGTGTACCATGTGAGAGTTAGGGCTAAGTCTTCTGAGCTATGATTCTCTTTTGGCACAATTAATGTCTATTCAATGTTATCAACAGATACATTCGTTGGTTTAAATAAATCCTATAAATCCCAGAAAAATAAATTCCGGTAATCCCTCGAAACCTAGGCCGAATGATCCAACAGTGCATTGTTGGTGTATTTATGCCGATAATGAGAGTTAAGATAAGAATCAGTACCAATGTGAAACGTAAAAATAGAGAGGATCATAACTAATACAACGAACGCGACTTATTTTTACCTATGCTCATTCTATTATCAAAAACAAATTTATTTACATTCTAACTTTGAAGATTGCGTGAGGATGGATCTGGGGAATGAGAGTTTGGATAGAAACAAATGTTTAGTCGATATTTACAAAAGTGAAAAGGAACCATCAATAAATTGAATCTTGATTAAACTATGCTCTAACATTCGAACGCTGTCGTTGTAAAGGCTCATTGAATTCCTTCTTGTACATTTCCGAAGAAATGGCAAAAATGTCAAGTATGAGAACAATGGGAATGAATGAAATAACACAGTCGATAAGAAATAGTCAAAGATTTCTCGCCGCTTTCATATTACCCGCTGTAAATGCAACGAAAAGACTCATGAAATGTTTTGAAGTTTATAGTTTTGGTTTGGGAGGGCTAGAATATAGCACCCGATTGGTACTTGATAACCAATCTAGATGATTCTTCACCCTTTTTTTCTTTTAATTGGTGGGCTTCAATATATTGCTTCGAGCGGCGAAAATTGAAAAGTTCCGAAAGATCGAGGTTTTGCAAGTCTCCTAACGATTGAAATTTTGTAGATATCCTAGCGTTCGAGATTTTGTTAGGTTCTAGTTAATCGAAACTTCAACCATTCAAATCTTTCTCTAAACTTCGAAAAATTTTTTCAACTAATATTTATGTACCAGATTTTCTTTATGCTCTCAACATCTATCGAATATTTTTGTAGAACAAAAGATCTGAACATGGGTACTTACGATCAAGAAGCTTGTATGAATCAGATGATCTAACTGAGATGTTCTAAACTCTAAGAAATGGTTTTTCTCAAAAACGTATCAAAATGGATTTCCGACTTTTAGAAACGATGACTTTAACTTGATTGTAGTAATAAATTTATCAACACACCGTAACACGATGAAAAACTGAAAAAACCTTGTCTTTTCTTTATTGGCACTGTTCTTAAAAGTCATTTGTAATACACTTAACTGTCTTAAAAGAGACAATAAGTACCATCAATAAGTAATATTCACGACTGACTTTTGCATAACTTTATTCTAGAAAAAGTAGTGAATTGTGTATTGGCAAAGTTCTTCTCAGCGTTCAAAAAAAAAAAGAGTAACATCTTGATACAAACAGTTCCAACGACTAAATTATTACTGAGATCAGACCTATGTCCAGAACTCCTTTTCCAACCAAAAATTACAGCTCCAATCGTTAGTTTTCATCAGTTTCATAATCGGTTCCCATTCAATAATTTTATATATTTGCGGTGCAGGTTCAACACGACCATTCTTC